AGCGAAAAATGCTAAAATGGTCAGCGATATCATTATGTTCACCCATTCTTCTAGATATCCAAAAATAGAGAGAATAAAACAGTAAATTGCATATTCATTTCGTTGTAAAGACATTGCTTATCGTGTTAAAATTTACCTTTTTACAGAATAGTAAAATCTGCGATAGAAGATAAGGGTTATATAAGGCCAGTTTAGGTTAAATTAGGTAATTTAAGGTTAGGTTAGGTGAATTAAAGTTAGTTTACGTCAACTGTAAGAATGAGACTCCGCTGATATAGGCTTTCAAAAAAAAAACTAGCCTTCAAGGCAGTATCACAATTTCAGTATATTTCATTTCATTGCGTTTTTTCGAGGTTAGAGTCAAAATAACAACGTGTGCGATCGATTCTGAGAGATTATTTACATTCAATGCATCGAAAAACATAAGAATCGACATGCCTCATCCCCAGAACAGAAAATACTAATTTTTTCACGTTTTTTGAGATTAGGTTGAAACGCGGACCTGGAGGACAAATTTTGACATCGGATTCGGATTCAGCGCGTCAAAATCCATAGGAAAGCATATGTCGCATCCCCAGATCACGACACTTTTTTTTTGTGTGGCTGATTATAATCAATGTGCAAAAGTAGCAGCAACTTTGTTCTTGAGAGGCATGCAAATAGACATCATGGTTACATCCTTGAATTAGTAGCAAAATTTCAGTAAACTGTTTAAGTGGCAAATAAAAAATTATATATTAAAAATTGGTGAGAAATGAAACAGTAGAAGTAGCTGTTCTAAGTAAAATTACTTTGGACCCTACATTAAGTTCCAGAAAACTTTTTGATCTAACGGAAGTTTCGCGGGCCACCGTAAAGAGAATTATGAAACATAATATAAAAATTATAAAATTCAACTTTTTCAAGAATTACATAAAGATGATAATAACCGCCTTTTCCAATTTTGTGAAATATTGTCCATAATAATTATAAATACTCCCAACTACTACTTTTAATGTTTGCTTCTCAGATGAGTGTTATTTTTTTTTTCAATAGCATTATCAATCGTTATTGGTCCGACACGGACAGGATCTTATATAAGGTTTATACTTAACATCCTTTGAAATTAAACGATTGGGCTGGTATTTTTGGTAATCACATAATTGGACCATTTTTCATACAGGGATATTTAAATGGATCGATTTTATGGAAAACGACCAACGTTGCCATGAAGAAAATCCGATATTTCAGCAAGACCGGGCTCCTCTATATTATGCATTACCTGTACGGAAGTTTCCGGATTGGGGTGCTAGGCCAGCGAGATCACCGGATTTATCTACCCTTGATTTCTTTTTGTGGTGACATTTAAAATATAAAATGTATACCACCCAGCCTGAGGATTTTCGGAACCGCATCACTAATAAATGCCTACAAATTACACCCGATATTCTTCACAATGTCCGGGAACACTTTTAACAGTTGCTATACAATTTTATAGAGGTGAACGGTGGACATTTTCAACAAGATCATACACTGAAAAAAATAATCTTTTAAAAGAAATGAAAATCTTTGATTCAAAATATTTGCGCTTTTGAATCAGAAACTATCTTTACATAATTTTTTTAAATTACTTGATGGAAGAGATTTATCTATTCGTTTAAGGATATTACAATTAGCTTAAATCATGAGCAAGCGATTTCTTGGTACAAGAACCAAAAATATTTCTTTGGAATATATTTCTCTTTTAAACGAAGAAAACGTTTTTTAATTAATTAAATTTCATTTATTTAAAAAGATTTTTAATGATTTCAACTTCCCTGTGAAAGTACATACAACACGCCACAACACAACACAACCGGCAAAATGTATATTAGAAATACATATAATAGAATTATAGTTATAATTATTATTATTATTATTATTATAATATAATATCACTACAAAACGTACTAAACACGTGTGCAGCAAACGGTGTGCGCGTTTTGCATCCCCTCCTATGTATCAAAAGCTATCAGATTTTGTTGTAAAATTGACATGCTTTTGGGATAATTGTGATGTACCTATTTTGAATAAATTGCGTAAATATAAATAATTTTCATAGCTTCTGAACAAAAACACTTTGCACTTGTTTGAAGGAAGAAACATTCAAGATATTTTGTATTTCTTTTCAAGAGAACTATACTTCTTCCACTAAGAACTTTTTTCTTTAAGCAATAAATACTCTTTTATGCTAAAATATTGTTTCTTGCCGCTAATAATCAAGAGAGTTGGCTACTAGTTTAAGGGAACCTTTTTTTAGTGTACGTATTTAATAAAATTAAATTAAATTTCTCGGCAACCCGCAGCACAAATTTGAAATCTTTTAAAGACAATGTAATGTCCTTTCAAAAGATGTATCACAACATATCCCTTTCCATTTAAAAAAATAAGGGTGAATCCGCCTCTGGGGTGGAAGTTACAGTGATTAATGTTTAAATATGTCCCCCTGAATAAAAAAGTATACGGGTCCGAAGATTTTTTTTATTTTTACATTCGATGGGTAGCCCTGTATATATCAACATGGTATATAATTTTTACCATAATTTTTTAATAGCAATGAAAAATAAGTTTATATACCTACTAGTATGCTGAGTAGATACTCTTGTAACATCATAAATTTATGGCCGAGCATAATTTACAAGCCTATGAATATAACGTTCTCATTTAAATTCTATGGTACAAATTCACAATTAGCTTGTCGTCCTGGCCGTACCATACAAATTGTGATTGTATCTGTGTTGTTTTGAGCTCGACAATATTAACGGTTAGTTTAGAAGAGATTGCCGCCGCAAACTGTACAACTCGGCCTCTTATAGAGTGGACAGAATTTCTTAGTTAATTTCTTCAATTGCCAACATTTATTCTTATATAGAGTTCTGCTCGTTTCCAAAAATGGACAAATGTTAATGGCAAGCCGTATTCAAGTCACATGTGCTGCTGTAGTGGAAGTGTCCGTTTTTTCATGTGGATAAATAAAAGATGTATTTATTGTATTTATTTGATGCGATTTCGATTATATCCTTAAAAACTCAATAGTGGAAGGAAAAGATATTATTAAAATATTCTATTTAATATAATAAAACACCATTTCCGGGTTAATATACAGGGAAAATGACAAGAGCATACAATTTTATTAATGGGTTTTATTAGTTTTAGTGCAAGGTTTTTTTCTTAAAACGGCTTATAAAAAACGAATAATGTTTTACGTTACGTTACGTTAACCTCCAAAAGGATTGTGTGTTATACTTCTCTGGCTTAACTTAAAAAACGATATTAAACACAATTAATAACTCAAAATATGATTTTTTTAATTTTTAAATATTTTGAGGTTAATTGTTTTTTACATTAAATGGAAAGTTTAAATATCAATCTTTCGCTAAAAAAGAAAATTTTCTTGGAGAAACTGACGCCTGTTTAACGGGTCACAATCAAATTTTTACTGAATGCTTGCTTCCTATTACTTTTGCCTACAATTTGTAGTCTACAAACAACAGATCACAGTGTTGCCACGTTTAAAACAAAACACACCTCGTGTAACTTTAATACAATTTATTAGCTATTTTCGCGGAGCTAATCCCGGACTAATTCCGGATATCCTAGGAATGCGCTTTTTAAAATTTGGCGTTCAAAATGTAAAGAGCGCATGACAAATATTAAAATTCGCATGCCTAGGATGTCCGAACTAGTTCGGGATTAGTATCGCGAAAACACATATTATTATAAAAAAGTTTAAAAAAATGAATTAAAGGTATTCCAATATAAATCTACTTAAAATAGGGTTCTTAATTAATTCTACTTTATTAATTAAATTTGTTTTATAAAAATGTTCAGAACAAACAAAACTAAACTAAGCATAAAATAACCTCTATATTTATAAAATTAATACATTTTGTTTTAAAAATGGAATACGATTAGAAGCTATTTAGTGTCTAATGTATAGGGTAATAAAAAACTAAACACCATAATTAAAATCAACATATAATTTTATTTAATAGATATAGGTACATAAAATTTACAATCACCTATTAATTAATTAAAAAATCAATTATAAACATTTAATGTTCGTATATTTTTACTAAAATATTCTCATACACCCCTTAAATAATATAATAGTAATATTTAAAAACTATATGTACAAAAGGATTACTTAAAAACAGATCGTACAATTTACAAAATCTTTGGTTTTGAAAGCTGTATGAAGTTCTACTAACAAATTTTCATCAAACTAAAAAACATTAGTAAAACTAAAAGTGCAAATATGAAACATAGTGCGAAAATATACATACTATTATCTCTGTAAATTATAATTTAGAGTTAATTAATAACATTTTAGAATTCGAAAATATACAATTTATGATTACAGAGAATATACAAAATAATAATAATTTTAACTTTGCACTTTATATAAGAATGGTAACATTCCATTTCAAAATTTTACAATTGTTATTATATTTCCTAGACTAGACTGGTATTTAAGTCCCAAACATTTATTTACAAAACTATAAAAAAATCTGCACCCCATAATCAAGATAGAAACATTACAAACTACTACAGTACATTCGCTAAGCGTATTGTTTTAATTTGGTCCACAATAATTAAAGACTTACACACTTTTTCAAAATTTGTTAAATAGGATGGTAAAAATCAAAGATAACAACATTTTGGGTTACCTAAGTGTATACATATATGTATTCTTGAGGAGTCTTTAATATTTTTTGGAATGGACGGAATAACCATGGCAAAATAATATGGCCAAAATTATATAATGGCATCTTACACGGGATTTCATGGCACTTAAAAAAGTGTTTTTTTTATGTTGAAGCATAGTAGGATAATACAAAATACCCTTTATATTAAGGGAACAACAACAATATTTACCATTTCATTAATTTTGTGGTAAAAACAATTTTTGTGCTAGGTTTTATTATATTTCATTGTACCAAAAGGTATTTCATATATTTTTCTATGTATAAAGAAGGTACTTAATAAATATCTTCCTTGAATCCGGTACTGCTCACTTCAGTTTTCACAAGATCCAACTGCACGTCAGTGGGTCTGTAAATGCTGGACATAATTGATTCCGGCACGGAAGGGTGCTGTGATTCCCTGTGCCTCCTCAGATCAACTTTTCTTTGGAAAGCTTTCTCGCACAGGCCGCACGAGAACGGCTTGTAGCCGGTGTGCTTGCGCATGTGTGTTATCAGATTCGAAGATTGGCTGAAAGCTTTCGAACACACCACGCACTTGTGGGGCTTTTCACCTGAAACAAGAATAACGAATTAATTAGATTTTCAGGCTTCACGAAAGGAGTGTCTAAGATTACGGAAAGCGAAACCTTTCCTATTGGCTTGGAGAAGCTTTACGATTTTTCACGCAGCTATTGATACCAGTCTACAAGTTTATCTTTAAGTAACGTTTCTTTTTGACTATTAAATCTATTTTCTTCATAAAGATTTAAATTTGTTATTGCCCATTAAGTTGATTTAATGAAGAAAAGGAAACAAAATTAAGTACTTTAAGTTAGATTTATTTGGTAAAAACAAAAATATATAAATAAAGTAATTTACTCTTACAATGCTATCCACCAGTGATTTGATAAAATTGCCTTTAATTATTTTATTTGCATTTCTATAAAAACATTTTCAGTTAATTAATCCTTGACGATCTTTAATTGCACTGTATCTCCTAATTTCCCTGGCAATTATGTCCAAATAGGCAAACATTTTTCAAATAATTAAAATCGGCTATCCATTGAATCTGATTGAAAAATTGGTCAAAGAATCCTGATGCCGCAAGAATTTAAATAAGGAGCAAATACGAAATGCGGCACATTTGGAAAATTTGTGCTGATTTCTATTCCATATACATTTACTAACAAAAGCGTCTTGCAAGTTTAAGTTTATGTAAAATTTGTTTTATTTTAATTACATACGTTTAATAATATGAAGGATTTTGCACCCGCATACACGTTTTCATGGTTAATGCAATCTTTAACCTTAACAGAAAAGGTTACCTGCAGAAAACAACCACAAAATGATTTTTTCACATAAAAGAAGACTCAAACAGTCTGAAACTGACCTACAGAAATTAGGAACTTGTTCTATGTTTATATCAAAACATTTTTCTCTTTATAGATGTTTTTTATGATACTATTTGGATTAGCAAATAAAAATACAACTAGATTTTTTTCTGTTTTTGTTTAATCTTTAAGAAGAAAATAAAACTCTTTTATTTGCTCGCCCCAGAATTATGATTACGTTTATCAAAGGGCTAGAATTTTTTCAGGGGCGAGCAAATAAACGAGTTTCATGTTTTTCTGGCTAGCCACTATATAAAACGCGGCCATATTTTATTATATAATATGTCTAGTGTTTTCAGATATTTTATAAACTGGACGAACAAGTAAGAGCCACATTTAATGTAAAAACAAAATTATGATAGTCACCAAATTAGTCAAACAAATATCCCTAAATAATCACGTTCTAGACGAAAATAACATTTTAATAATTTTGGTTTGAACACAGTAAACATTAGCGTTTATTATTGCAAAAGTGTGCGGTAAAAATAACCAAAATTTATATTGCACTTTTACAGGTATAAGAGCATTCGAGAAAAAAATGCACTAATTTTTAAATGTCAAGTTAGAAGATATTCAATAACTAAAGACATGGGCTGTACAATAGATGTATTTAATTAAGGCATATCTTATACATGACAATAACAATTTGATAATTTTCGAATGCGCTTATACCTGTAGAATTGGCATATAAATTTTTGTCAACATTCACAACACAGTTTAACAATAATAATCGATAACATCCCGTGTAGTCTTAGCAACTTTAATAACTTATTACCCGGAAACCAGACGGTCAACTATTCTAATATGTTGTAAAAGTATTTTTTAGTCTATAGACTCTACTACATCTAGAATTTTTTAACATTTTTTCTTAAATGTAAAAAAAACTGATTTATGCACACGTGGGTTACCACCTCTGTCGCATATAGCAATAATTAAGCAAACACAGAATAATAGGTAACTTGAAATTACAACTTGAAAAAGAAATCTTTTACAGAAATTATTACTAATTAACATTCTGCCTCTTACTTGATCGGCCAATTTATTAAATGTCTAAAAACACTATATATATAGCCAAATTGTTAAATAATGCAAAATGAACGACGATTTTAATGTGTCTAACCAGAGGCTACTCTCTAAAAATGAAATAGTCAAAATTCTTCTATTTAAATTAGTACCAGCATTTTTTACTAATAAAATGGTCGTTTTTACTTTTAAATAGTTATTTTTTACTACGTACATAGTTAAAATTTGACTAATTTAAGATAAGTTACCATCTTAATAATTTCTTTAATCGTTTGCGGCCAACAACAAAGTATTATTTGAATTAAATGCATATACCTATGCTCCATGGTTAAATGACCCATAAAAACAAATAAAGATGCAAAAAGTTTAGCTCAAAACAGCAACACAAATAATATATTCAACTTTAAAATATTATGAACAATATTTATTGACAAATAAAATTGATTTTTATAAGAGCGGCTGATAGCCGAATGGGTTATGACAACAGCTTGACAAGCTTGACAAGTGACAGACCTGAGTTCAATCCCCGGCTGGTTCAAAACTTTTTTTAAATTTAAATCTACTAATTTGACTATTTCATTCAGTAGAATTTGACTAATTATTAGTGACTGCTTTTTCGCTATGACAATAAGTCAAATATGACTTATAATTAGTTACTTTTGACTAATTCATTTTAAGAGAGTACAGTAATATTTTATGACCATTATAAAACTCGCAATCTAAATGGCAATTTTATAAAACCTACCTTTATATAACTTATCGTTACGTTAGTAATACAAAATGTTTGAAATTGACATTAGGGACTGTGATATATTATATACTAATAAAACAATGTCCTGATGTTAAAAAACAACTAGTTATTCCTTGTTAAATGAATACAAGGTAATTATGTTATTTAATGATATATTTTCATTTTAAGTGGTCGTAATTTAACTGACTGCTTACTGATAATAATAAGTGTTTATTTAGAAATTCCACATTGAAAATTATAAGGTTACCTACAAGCATATGGAAAACATCGCCTATTGTTTATTTATTATTATAATAAGTAATGCAAGATATTATTTATAAACGACAAAAAAACGAAATAAATTATGCAAATAAAACGTTCGCCGTCCAACCAATTACTAAATTATCCTTATGACAAGTGATATTTAACATCTGATAAAATACTACGTGTTACACAGTTTTTCACTAAACTATATGAATAAATTTTCCCTTCGAGAATTGATAATGTTCATTATTTACAAAGTATACATCCAAAAACATCAATTTCAATTAGGCTAATGAGTGGTGTTTTTCGATACAATCTCATGAAAAATTTTACTTCGAGTAAAAGTTAACAACTTTATTTAAAATAACTCTTTAATTAAGTTGATATAAAACAACGATATGGCACTTAAATTTTATTTAATTTAAATATAAATAGTTTGTAAAGGACCAGTTTTTCAACACAGTTTAAAAGTTATGAACGAAGATGTGGGTAATTTTGTGGTCATAAATAAATTAGCTGGAAAATGTTTCAATCACAAAGTAGCAAACAATTTTCCATGCAATACCAAATCAAAGAAAAATATATTGAATGATAAATAGGCATTGAAAGCTTAATAAATAGTGGATAAGTCTTCGAATGCTGACATGACGTTTTTCAGCGATTATTTAGTACTAAAAAGTATGTCAACGCGATCAAAGACCTCATACGTCCATTTTATGTCAATCATGCATAAAAATGAATTTATTAAATGATATGTAATTTTTTAACAAAAACTTGTTTATGCATGTAGGTATACTACTGAAGTTTATGGATCACATAATGGAAAAATTTTAAACAACTGCATTTTTTTAAGAAAGGAATGTTTTAAATATATATTTAAATAAAAATCGCGTTAGAAACACTTTTTAGGACGAGAAAACACAGTTTTTCAATAAAATTGAAATTAAAAAAGTTTTGGGAGAAAAATCCTAAAAATATTGTCTATTTTTGTCTAAGACTATCTTAATAAAGTAGAAAATGGCCACTTTCATTCTGAAATGATTCGTAACTTTTTATATAATAAGGCTTTTGCAGACTGTTACAATTTTAAGGCAATAGTTGATATTGACAAATTATTACCGTGTATTGCATTTCTATTGGTTAAAAATCTGCATCCTAAAGAAAAATTTTATTCGTAATGGATCTCATTACAGTACAGGTAGGAAATGTCTAATAAAGAAATTAAAGTATGGCAGTATACTTTATATAAAAAAACACATTTTTTGCAATAAAACTTATAATTAGTAAAATAGTCAATATCTTTTCACAATCCCGTTAAAACTCTTTTTAGAACAAAAAAACACATGTTAATATAAAATTGAAAAGCTTATTATTATTATGTTATAATTATATATATATATATATATATTAGGGTGATTCATTTCCGCAAAGTTTTTGTTTTTTTTCGGTGCTCAGGCAAAATATTAATCTACCTATAGAAAAAAAAATTTTCACCAAGGTAGAGCTCTTAATATCAATTTTAAGTACTTGCAGTTTAAATTTAAAGTTTTCCCATTTAAAATGCATGTAAAAAAAATGGTTTTTTTTTCAAATTTCTAATGCTTACCCACCTTTGACAATATTGCAAATCGGTTTAATACACCTTATGGGGAATTTCACGCTCTTTAAAATTGCTTTTGAGTTTTTTTTTTGTAACTCGCATTGGTTCACCAGTAGGAGTCGTCAAAGGACAGTTTTTGAAAAAAATCGTTTTTTTTTATTTTTTCGAGCAAATTGCCAAAAGTAGTGAGAAAAAAGGGCTGATTCATAAAAAAAAAGTTATCCAACCAATATTTAATGAATTTACTGCCATTTTTATAACTGAAAACGTAAGAAATTGATAAATACCAACCCATAATGTTATTTAGATTGATTTTTTCTATTTATTATCATTATATTTCCCTACACTAAGAACTTTTTTAAAATTATTATGATTTCTCACTCATAATGAATATGAAAACAACACATAAATTCATAAAAAAAACAACAAAGCTTTAATCGGAATATACAGAAGGTTATGTAACATATTTCAAATTTCGCTTCAAAAAATTAAATAATCTTCATTTATACTTTTTTGCTATTTTTTTATGAATTTATCTGTTGTTTTCATATTCATTATAAGTGA